CCCCCCCCCCCCTGCCCCCCCGCCCCCCCCCAAAAAAAAAACCATGATGCCTCTCAAAACATCCATTAAGCCCTAAAAGTCTTCCTCCAACCCCCACCCCGTAGGTGGGGTATGTTTTATCACAAAGGGTGGCAGGGACCCCAAGTCCCACCTATAAACTAGAACCCGTACCACAGGTACAGAGGTGCAAGGCAGGTGGTTGCAGGGATGTTGGGAAGACTTTTTGGAGGGTTATCGGGGGGCTAAGAGGGCTTGGGTGTTGGGGGATTTGTCCTTATCTGGGTTCCCCCGAACGCAGGCGACTCCCCGGTAGACCCAACGTGCGCGTGCCGATGGCGGGGCCGCATTCAATTTCTTCCCACCACTCGCTACATGGCACGTTTAAACGAAATTTACATAGGCCTATCATGAAGAGAAACTAGTCAATATCGTTGGCTATTCAACACAACTAAGTAGCCTACCCTGATGGGCTATTAAATGATGATAGGTAGCCAACATTAGTGACGATTGGTCGCCGCTAATGCGGAGTGGGATGTTAGGGGAATGCCAATGCACAGTAGGGGGTTTCCCCTGCAGACAACTGTACTAGCATCATGCGACATCATAAGGTACGAAATGGAGTTCCTCTCTCTGAATCCATGTTAGTAAGAACCGGATTAAACCTCTAGTACCACCTGATTTTCATGAACAAGGGTGATTGAAGGAGTGATGAGAAGCAGTACTCATGTAGAGCTTATAGTAAAACATATAGGTTTGACACATCCTGTCATACGACGTTAGAAAACAGGTATTGATTTGGTTTCAGGGGACAATCAACAAATTATTGTCTTTTTCTCTTTGACAAACGGGAATAGTGTTCAAGACTTCGATTATCATGAAATTACAGTGGACAACATTGGGGCCAACACCATTGAATTCAAAGCCCTTCCTCTGTTTTTTTTTAGTTTATTTTAAGGAAAATAGCTCTCCCTTCTATTGATGGGGAGCAAACACCTGCTAGAAATGCGGTTGAGCTTCCCTTGTAATAGTTACATTATCACCTGCCTCCACCGCCCCCCGAGAACCCCCTTCTTTGCCTCGATGGCCTTTTGATAGGCTAAGTGGTGTTGTTGTGACTAAGAGATGCCCTATGGTACCCAGTCGTCACAGGCCCTATAACCTGATCAAGATGGAAGTTTAGCTAAGTCAGGCGGGGCGGGGGGGGACCTTCCCCCGTCTTCTCTTCC